GGTTTTTAGGGATTACTAAATATACTTGCGGAGGTGTAGCAAGCAGATGAACAAAAACGGATCTCAATATTTTAAAAGTGAACCTGTCATGTAATTTTACATGTTCAGGTAAATTGCCCCAAAAACATAATATATCAAAGAGATACATGATGTATTTAAAGCAACACTACAGTCATCAGAACAGCTTAAAGTATTTTTGGTTCTACAGTCTGTCCCTGCATAATTCAGAGAAAAGGCAGTGTTTACATTACAGCCTAGGTACACCGCAAGTGGCAGTCACTCAGATGGCCACTGGAGGTGCTTCCTGTGTCAGTGTGCCCAGTGTGCAGCACTTACATTTAGCGTCTCCACACTCTCGACGGAGACGATGAACGCTCACCATAGAGAAGCATTGATACATCTCTAGGAGGAGTTGCTGATTGACGCAGCGCAGCATTTAGCAGAGCATGCACAATATCCATTGTACTATGCTGCAGAATTTGTTGGTGATTTACAATTAATTATAATAGTCTCCCAATACTTTCCTATGGGAAAGCATTGGATTGGCTGAGATCATCAAATTTGATTATCTCCCCCAAGGATGTGGGGCGGCGCAGTGCTGTAAAAAATAAAAAAAAGTGAGTAAAACTAATTTTTTAAAGTAAGGAGAGGGGGACTGAGGTCCTAAATTATGCTTTTAAAACTATAGTGTCAGGAATACACATTTCTATTCCTGATACTATAGTGTTCCTTTAATTTTTATAATTTTGAGATATCGTCAGATTTATATGTCAGGTGCCTGTAGACATAGAATACTAATACGCCTATGCTTGTGTATCGGACTGTATAACAGAGCTCCACAACAACATCCTTTACTACAATAAATGTGCTTATAAATCAGTCTGTGTGCATTGGATTGGATTGAGATTGTCAATTCTTATGATCCTCGCCAAGGAGGCGGGGCTGGGGGCCTAGTGGACAGGCTCCTGTAGGCAGACGCCTACCCTGCCTTATGGGAAATCCGGCCCTGATCTTACTTCCGATTCAACACCAACGTGTCCTCAGCATGGTTGGTGCTACTTTTTTGTAACAGTCTGCCCTTCACTCCTCCCACAGGCTTGTACTACGGAGGGCAAACCTCCTGTGTGATGCCAACACTGGCTTTGTTGCCTGCGTATAGACATTAGAACGGAGTGATATAAGTCACTCCATTCCTATTCTCTTTAGCCAGGGGCATAGGAAATTGGCGTAGCGCAGCATTTTGTAGCGCATGCGCAATATCCTTTGTACTGTGCTGCGGAATTTGTTGGCACTTTATAATAAATAATTAATCATAAGTAACTGTAAGCACTATAGTTGCGGTGTTCTGAGACCGGGCCCCTTTTGGTTGGCTGGGAGGAAGTGACAGCCGATCACTTCCTTCCAGCTGTAAGGAGAGAGCGCCACATGGAATGATGGGAGGATGAGGCACACACAGGCAGCCAGGGAAGAGAGAGACAAAGACTGTTGCAGCAGACCCCACACTCTCTCCCCTCAGCCAGCAGCAGGACTGCAAGCCAGCCATACTCCAGGAAATGAAAGGTATGTTAACAGGAGGGTGGCTGCAATTATAAAAAAATGACATTTGTATGTTTATGTATCATGTCAGATTGTGTGTGTGTGTGTATATGTGTGTGTATCTGAGTCACAGTGTGTGTTTGTGTGTATCTGCAGTGCCAGATTAAGAGCCCAGTAGGCCTGGTGCTGAGATGATGGGCCTAATTACAGAATCTTATCGACCAAAAACACTAAAACAGTCCTACCTCCCAAGCATCATGTATCTGATGGAGATGGTGCTGGAGGGAAACTCATAGGATGCAGCTATGAGAAAACACATACCCTATGCTAATCTCACACTTTCATCCTTCAAGTAAATCCATACCCCCTAACAGCAGTGTCCAGTAAATCATGAAGTCTATGGACAGGGTAAAAGGGTGGGCCACTGACGCAAATCACATAACCAGAACTGCCGAAAGGGGCGAACGTAACCAAAAAGGGGGCATGTCTGTGTCCCCATGTCTCCCAGTCCCTTAGTGTTTGTGTCCCAATGTCACTAGGACACTAGGGGACATTGAGAGACATTGCGATACTGGGAGATATGGGGACACTGAGATACTAGGGAACACTGGGAGACCTGGGGACACAGACACTGGGAGACATGGAGACAGGAGGGCACTGGGTGACTTGAGACACAAGGGGACACTGGGAGACACAGGGCATGGAGACACTAATACATAGGGGACACTGTGATATATAGGGGACACTGGAGACTTGATAAAGACCTGGGTACAGGTCAAAACGTTGCGGTGTCCAATAAAGCTGCTTGAATCTATCACAGTGAATGCCTAAGACACTTAGGGGCACTGTGAGACATGGGGACACTGGGAGACTAGGGGACATTGAGACACTATGGACACTGAGAGACGCCAGGGACACTGGGAGACATGTGGCCCCTATGTATCACAGTGAGACACTGATACAAAGGGGACACTGGAGACTTGATAAAGACCTGGGTACAGGTCAAAATGTTGCGGTGTCCAATAAACCTGCTTAAATCTATCACAGTGAGTGTCTGAGATTTTTTCTTTTATACTAGGGGACACAGACACTGGTAGACATGGGGACACTAGGACACTGAGATACAAGGAGACTATGGGAGACTGCGAAACAATTAGACCCTAGGGACAATGGCACACTACAGACACTCAGAGGCACCGGGGATACTGAGATACTAGAGACACTGGGAGTGCCCCAGGTCTCAAAGTCACCCAGTGTCCCCATGTGTCCCCAAGTCTTTCAGTGTCCCCTATGTTGCCCAGTGTCCTCCGCGGATCATTGAGTAGAGAGAGGCAGGGAGGGAGATTCTGTAACTTCTTATCCCTGCCTCTCTCCACACACACGTTGACCCCTACTGCCCATTGCTGGTATTGCAGAATAATATCTGTTTATACGGAGACTGACATTTGTATTGTTGGTATTACTGCAATACCAGCACCGGCTAGGCAGCCTCAAATACCTGAGAAATACTTCTGAGAAATACCTGGCAACCCTAAGAAATACCTGAGAAATACCTGGCAACCCTAAGAGTAGTGTGTAAAAAAAAAAAAAAAATTTTTTTTTTTAAAGAAATCAATGGGCCTATTCCATGGGCTTGGGCCTGGAGCTGCAGCTCCATCAGCCCCTATGTTAATCTGGCCCTGTGTATCTAAATCTGTCACAATGTGTGTATTTGTATGTGTCAGTGTGTATATCTGAGTATATTTGTGTTAATGTGTATGTTGTGATCCTTGTCTGCAGTTAGCACGGTCCTTTTGGATACAAACATGCACAGTCTTTAAAAGTAACTCCAGGCACTTTATTGTTGAGCTTCACTACAGAGACAGCGGCAAATTAAAAAAAAACAAAAAACAATAATGTAACACAAATCCCTATAAACAAAAACCTAGCTCGTCTGAGCACTGACTAACAGATTCCCTATCTCTCAGGGGTTAAACTATAACAAAATAATATTGGTTTCACCAACCTAGTGTCTTTGTCAGCTCTCTGCACTCCAGTGCTTAGTCAGCCTGTTGCTTTCCTTTCTACACTCCCAGTGCTCCAAGCCAGCCTTGACTGATTTCCTTTTGCACTCCCAGTGTTCAGTCTCCTTGACTCTCTCACTGGAGAGAACAGCCTCTCTCCTACCTGCTTCCAGGGAGGAAGCCAGCAATCCCCCTTTACCTGCTTAGCAGGGAGGGGTTTATTCCCACTGCTACAGCTGATTATCTGCAGCTGAGCAGTGGGTTGGAGACAGTTCCAAAAAACTCTGGCCTGGACCTTATTTCTCCCAGTTGTGTATAAACTGGAGTAGTGGAGCATTGGCCCACCCTGCTCTCGAAATGCTCCACCCCAGGGGTCCATAACTAAACGTAGCTTTGTGTTGCACACCACACATTCAACACGTACTTCCCCTGGGGTTAAATGTTAAAGGCCTCTCTGCCTTCACTTTATCACAATGTATATATGTGTATGTATTTCAGTGTGTGCATCTGTGTCAGGGTGTGTCAGGGTGTGTCAGGGTGCGTGTGTGTCAGTGTAAGTATGTATGTGACAGTGTATGTGTGCATGTGCAGACATTCAAGCAATCAAACACCAAGACGACATGCAAACAGACTCCTTCAATCTAACACAAACCTTAAATACAAGCACACCCCTGCATTCAAACTCAAAAATTATATAAAAACACATTCCTTCATTCAAACACACAATAATATATCATTTAAAAGCCAACATTACATCCAAACACCCCCCTGCAATCAAACGCAAATATTACATACAAACACAGACCTACATGTAATAGCTAACACTACATACAAACACACCCCTGCATTCAAACACAAACACTACACACAAGTACACCTCTGCATTCAAATAGCAACAGTACATACAAATATACCCCTACTCTATACAAAAACATGCTTACATTCTAATGCACAAACACTGCTCACAAATACAACCCTGCAAGGATGGGCAAACAGTAGATCCCCAGCTGGTATGGTATTAGAGTTGTACGACAGGTGGGGATTTACCCTTTGGCCATTCTTGCACTAGAAGGGGCCCAAAAAAACTTTCTTGCACCAGGGTCCTCTCTACATTAGTTCCGTCACTGGGGAGCACGATCTGTTTTTAACAGGTTTGACTCCTGAATTGCTAGCAAATCTCCTAGCACAATGTGTATATATAGCCAGCAGCTGTCAGGCACAGTATGCTCAGGTAGGAAGGCTGGGTGGATTTAAATGTAAAAAAAAAATTGTGAGTGTAATGAGTGTATGAGAAAATTTGTGTGTGTGTGTGTGCATCTGAGAGTGTGTATCTGTCAGTGCATGTATCAGTCAAAAAAGTGTCCCTGACATAAATTGGTGAGGCAAATTTAACACAATATATATATATATATCAAATAATATCAGGGGTGCACTCACAGGTCTCTGTGAAAATAAATTGTGGTGTAATGGAACAAAACTTCAGTTACATCTGTAATACAATCCAACAGATTCTATTACAGATGTAACTGAAGTTTTGTTCCATTACACCACGATTTTATACACAAAGACCTGTGCGTGCACCCCTGATATTATTTGATAAATGCTCAACGCAGGTAGTACCCAGGCAAGTATTATTTTACTGACTCAGCGACTAGGAGAGTGCCAAGCTGTATGTATGTGTATATATATGTATATATTTACACACATATACACACACACTCTTTCAAAAGAGCATAGGTTATATTAGGCATTACAGATACCTTTCAAAAATTTTATCTGAGCTGTATCTGGACTAAAGATTTAATAATTTTCTGCCAGATACTGCCTAGCAGAGAATTATATACACTGATTAACCACAACATTAAAACCACCTGCCTGTAATATCGTGTGTGTCCCTCATGCTGCCAAAACAGTTCTGATGAGTGAGCATGGATTCCATAAGACCTCTTAACGTGTCCTATGGTATTTGACACCAAGGCATAAGCAGCAGATCCTCTCAGTCCTGCAAGTTGCGAGGTGGAGCCTCCATGGATCAAATTTGTTTGTCCAGCACATCCCACAGATGCTCAATCGGGTTGAAGTCTGGGGAATTATGGGTCCAAGGCAACATCTTGGACTCTTTGTCATGTTGTTCGAACTGTTCCTGAGCAAGCATGGCAGGGTGCATTATTATCATATAATTGTTTTACTTTTAACTTGTTAACTTCTTCAAAGTGTTGAATGTTCACATTTTCTAATAGCACATCGTTATACTGAATATATATATATATATATATATATATATATATATATATATATATATATATATATATATATATATATATATATATATATATGTATATATATATATATATATAGTCTTGCACTCCAACTTACTGGTGTCTGACTGGTGCTTGTCAGCATAATATAACCAAGTAGCATAGAGACAGCACTCCCAGGGCTCCAAAGGTATTAAAAATAAAATATAGTTTTTGTTTTCTTCAATTAAAAGATCAACGTTTCAGTTTGTCACCCAAACTTTCATCAGGACCTCTGTCGTGGAGGTGCTGAAACGTTGATCTTTTAATTGAAGAAAATAAAAGTTATATTTTATTTTTAATACCTTTGGAGTCCTGGGAGTGCTCTCTCTATGCCACACATACACATATACATTTATATAAATATTTTTGGTCTTATGTCACAACCTTATCTCATCTCAAACAACTCCCTCCTATTTACAAAAAGCAGCTCACATCTCTAACAAACAATCAGGCCACATACCAAATACTCTTTACCTCCTAGACCATTTTTCTCTCTCTACCAGTTAGCCACTAGTCCTGCTGACAAGATGCAGCTACACTGTTCCACATACGATTGTAACTAGAGACACCTGTAGAAGTTGGTTTGTGTAAGGTCAGTGCAATATGTCACATATGAGTATTTTTTTTCCGTATTTTATGTTCTTTGTTTTCATTTAAAAATGTGATTATTGTAGAGATACTCCCAATTTGAGTTATTAATATTATTACCATCAAAGTGTCAATTACAATTATGTTTGAGAAACAGACAGATCCCATTGCAGAAAGAGACATCCCATACTGCTTTCTTTTATCATATAGACAGTGCATTTTAAAGACAATACTTTTTAGATCTAGCAATGTGGTATGAAATAAATCTAGTTCTTCATTTACACTGGAATATTTTCGAAAACATGATTTGTAAGAGCTTTGAATTCTTTGCTATAATAGACAAAAAAAAGTAACATTTGTGTTCTCATACGTACCCAGTTTGTTTCACAATTACTATAGATAAGAATTTATTCTTTCTGCAAAAATAAAACAAGCACAATAGAAGCTCAGTGAATGCTTATATTCAGTCTTTTAAAACCTTAATGCTTTTCAGTCTTTACTAAGAGAACCGCAAGACAAACGTTCCTAATCTAATACTTTCAATACATCAATAATCTCATCATTTCCTATCAAACTTTAGGGGCATATTTAATTAAACTGGCACTGGAGAACCCTCTGGTTCCACCAAAATTGTACCACCGGTATAAACACTTAATTCTATGTCACAAAAACTATGATTCATACATTTAACAAAAACATTTTTTGAAGGTAGTACTCAATCTGACAATCTCATTCATTTACTGCAGGAAATATACAACATAATAATTAACTACAAAGTCATCTTTCCACAGTGTATCAAGGTCAATTATATTCTCAACAATCTGTTACTCTTAAATTTCTTAGTTACAGCTTACCTTTATGTTGTCTTGTTGTTTTCTCATACAAAAGAAATCGTCTAATAGAGATCATTTATATTCACAAGGGATTCCTAACTCCGGCATTGTATCATCTGTCCATTAAGGTAAATACAGAGCACACCCACCAAATGACTTATGAAAAGTTGAAAGTTCAGTTCTGTGTATACTAAGCACTAAGCACTAGGAGATAGCAGGAACTTAACAGATGAAATCCACAGTGTCTTTAAAAAACAATATTACTCAATGCTGTTCACGCCTGGTATTTTTGGAGCTTTGCAAGTGTAATTCATTCTGCAGAGCTCAACAGAACAAAGTGACCCTCTTTATTCCTTATCAGAAGAAACAGCTCTGGCATATGAAACAGCAATAACTAAATTCAAATTCATTAAAGGGACACTACAGGCACCTAGACCATGGGCATCCGCAGGAGGGGGTAAAGGGCGCACTTGACCTCCCCTCACCCCCCACCCCCACCTTGGATTTTTCAGCTTGTGCCGGTATTTTTCTTTTCAGATTTAGAATACACTGCAATTGGCCCTCCTCTGCATTTATGGGATCCTTTACCATGTGTCACAAAATGGCTGACCACACATCGCAGCGCAGATGATAGTAGGTCTCGAAAAGTTGATAATCTTGCACGCATAGGCGTCCCCTGGATTTTTCAGTTTGTTCTGGTATTTTTCTTTTGAGAGTGCAATACACTGCAATACCAGCGCCGACCAGTAGTATGGAGAGATGCAGGGATAGGAATCTACATCTTATCCCTGCTTCTCTCTCCTGACTGAATCCGTGGGGTAGCAGCACAGAGTGCAGCCAGCCACTCCCAGACTGCAGAAGCAGCCTGCAGATCAGGTTAGTGAGTGTCAGGAAGCACTGAGTGCCACTGGATAGGGGTGTCACTGATTGACTAGCGCGGTCAGCTGGCACTCTAAGCCAATCAGTAGCTCCCCATTCATAAAAAAAGTAAAACATTTTTATAAACCGGGAACCAGCGATTGACTTAGAGCGTCAGCTGACCACCCTAGTCAATCAGCCGCACCCATGCCTGATGTCAATCTGCACTTCCTGACACTGTTTCAGAAGCCGAAAACCACTGAGCGACCTGGAGATCTGGAGGGAAACTATAGCACTATGAAAACAAACTTGTATACAATGCTTTCAAATGGGGTTTTAGACAGCCACTAGAGTTGGAGTTAACCTGAAAAACCTGCAATAATTACCTTTGCATGGTTAAGGAACCTGGTACAGTGCCTACAGTGTTCCATTAAGATCTACCTTTAAACCACTGGTAGACAGGACATACTTGGAATAATTAATGACAGTACTGCGGGATATTTGACTGAAATTTAAGTTCAATTGTTTTATCTGTGGAATATAAATTTTAATATTTTGTGTATTTATTGAAGTACCAAGATTAATTTAATTAAATACACTTTATCTCTGTCACTAGATTTTAAAGGAAACAAAAAGTGATTTTGTAATTAGAATTGTCATATATGTGAATATAAAATCAAAATATATTTATATTTAAAACAAATCAATGTTCAATAAGAATGTATCCACAGTTCATTATAAAAACACCATAATAGTGCAGATTATTAACCCCTTAAGGACGGCGGGGGGGGCGGCATAGCATGTCCCCGCTGTCCTTTGTACTTACCCGATGGCTGGCGATCCCACGCTGGTGATCGTTGTTTGGGGACTCACCTGGCAGCCCAGGGAGTCCCCCTGCCTCCATTCCGGCCCCCCTGGGCCATGTGATTGCGAGGTCCTTGCGAGGACCTCGCAATCACATGGACGGCATAGCCATCCATAGCAATGCCAGCAGGAGGAGTGCCTGGAATGACAGGTACTCCCCCTGCTGCCTGAAAAAAAAAAAAAAACAACCATTTAAAACGGTTTAAAATTAAATTATAGGTACTTAGATCATATATATATATATTTATTAAATATATGATCTAAGTATGTATATATACACACATACACATACATACACATAAATACACATACACTGTATAATAGTGTATCAAAATACATGTAGAATGATATTGATTAAATATATATAATTATCATTATATATATTTATATATAATATAAAATAAATAAATATGTAAATACGTTAAAAAATAAAATTTAAAAAATAAAAAATAAATAAATAAAATATATATATATATGTAAATTCGTTCCAACTGTATTTTGAAATTTATATATATATATATATATATATATATATATATATATATTGATATCAAAATACATGTAAAACGAAAAAATATATATATCTATATACATAAGTATATGTCATTATATATATATACCTATATATAAATAAAAATAATTTAAAAAAAATTATATGCATATATATACGTATATATACATACATATATATATATATATATACACGTATATATATAATAATTCTACGTCTATATTTATGTAATAATTTTACATAATTAGGTAATTTTATTAATTACAATTTGTGAGACCTGCCTGACAACTCAGGCCAAAAGTCCAGGGAATTTAATTTGCTAGCACTATATTTAACCCTGTAACTTTCCAAGACACCATAAAACCTGTACATGGGGGGTACTGTTTTACTCAGAAGACTTAGCTGAACACAAATATTAGAGTTTCAAAACAGTAAAATGTATTACAACGGTGATATCATCAGTGAAAGTGACATTTTTTGCATTTTTCACTCACAAATGGCACTTACACGGACGATATAATTGTTGTCATACATTTTACTGTTTTGTAACACTAATATTTGTTTTCTGCGAACTCTCCTGAGTATAACAGTA